TTTTACGTACACCCAGCGAAAAAAAAAAGAAAAAGAAAAAAACCAGTGAAATAAAATAGCGAAATACTCGTTTTGCTCTATTTTGCCTCTCATGCCCGATTTTTCAATAGGCAAACCCGTAGACCCAAGTAAAGTCTCAATATCTCACTCACTCGATTCCTTTTTTTTCCTCGGCTATTTTATTTATCATGAATTATTCACGATCGATTCGTCTCGAGACCCGTAATCCGGCAAGCGGATGAGGGTAGAGAGAAGAAGCGGAAAAAAAATCTAAAAGAGGGAAAAAAATAAATCGATATGCCACCCCCACGAGCTTTAGAGGGGCAAGATCGATGGGTGTGCTTGTTGAGAATGCAAAATTGGGGGTAAATATCTCGGGATCATTCGGGGAAAGTAAAGCATTAGTTAACGATAACGATTTTTTCCCCGAGAAAGGCTTTCACCGTAATTAACGATTCCATCCACAGATGCGAGTCGATGGTAGAAATAAATAAAATTTTAAAAATTGTTATCTGTTGTCAATAAATCGGTCAGATAACATTTGGATGCATGCCAGATGTACTTCCTCGAAGAATTGTTATAATAATTGCGCACATCTTATGCTTTAACATTGATATCTGATGAGAATTTTACAAGTCAAAGGCGAGCGTCTCTCTGAGGATGAAGTCGAGTGTGCCCTGCAGAAGGGAATAAATTATACTTGAAATCTCGGGGAATTCTTGGCAAGCACAAGTTCAAATGATTATTCTTCCCCTGACACGATCATTCCACCTCCTGTCCCTCGTCGTCAAAGGACGAGAGTGACTGGAACGCCTGTAGAGGGGTATGAGAAAAAATGCAACTTTGTCTCAAACGGACACTTCCATTGCTGCTTCTTGTTTCCTTCTTCTGCTGCTCTTTTTTATTCTCATCTCATGAAGAAAACGGAGGGTGAGATGCAGAGGTCTCAAGCTCTGGCATCCGGTGAAACTCAAGTTTTCTTCAGGATTAAAAAGCTCAGGGGATTACGGTCGGTTCGCTTCGATTCCGTAAGGAGCTCAGGACAGATCCTATTACTGCAACAACTTTCTAGTTACAGAGGGGGTGGAAAATAAGGAGGAAAGAGCAATGTTGCAGCCGTGAGGGAGGAGTTGGTTACCCTTTGATCCGGGATATCTTGAGATGATCGGTTTCTCCTCGATACAAGTAAAGTATCCAGTTATCTGGGTTATGCACTTTGGCGATGTAATTTCGAGAAGCTGGGGTGATTCGGGAGGGCTTAAAGGTCCGCCTCGTTTTGTCTAGAGCAGTCTGGTGCGATCTTCTCTGATCGTCGGGAGGCAAGTATCGGTAATAGCGCAATAAACGTCTCAAAGCAAGTAAAGTTCTCAAAATTTTTCAATTTCACATAGAAACTTTAGATAGAGAAATTCTTTTTTTAAAAATTGACGCGGTACTTGCTATGAGTAAAATCACAATCACCCTGACCTTTTCCTATCGGCAACTTTTTTCCGCGCAAAGGGTTTTGTCAAAGGATGGGTCAGCAACGGACAAGGAATAACGAGGGGAAAGGTGAAATTGTTATACTGAACGGCGTTAATTCCAAGTCAGCAAACTTGTCTAAAATTATCTGCGGACCACACGGAACATTTGGGAAACTAATTATGGCCGGTTTATTGAACCGCTTCGAAGCCCGACGTCTTTTATTCTCCATCATCGGTTTTTTTTTCCTTTCTTCTCTTGTATGATGATGCTGGTGAGGTAAAAACACCCGTTCAACCCCGCAGTCAGTCGGCCATCAAGTTTTACGAGGTCGTCTGACACGGAGGTGCTTTCGTTTTATAACGAGGGCTCACACCCCACAGCCACCGGGGATTTTCTGAGTTTGAACCACTGATGAAAGCTCCAGCGAAGAAAACTCGTCCGAGAGATAGTGACTCAGACGTGATTGTGGAAATTGTACTTTTTTTTTATCATCAAGATATTTGAATTGCAAAGACACCTCAACCCGGCGCTAAATTAAATGAAAGACGAAAGAGCTGCGCAAACTATTAACATTATCGTTAGCATGAGGCATTCCATTCCACGCTTATTGAAATTCACCTGGTCCGATCAAAAAAGATGCTCAACCCGTGTGTACTTACATCGAATATTTTCATTTTTCCTTGAAAATGGCTAACCATTCTCTTTTCAACAACCCATCAAAATAAAATACTCAAATAGATGGAATTGTAAATTAATTCTCGGTCATCATTCCTTTTAATTAACCTACACTCACCATAATTTCCTTCTCTCAATTTATAGACCATTAATTTTTATTCGATCTTACGTGATACTGGAGAGGCATAACACAAAATCCAAAAAACTGAAAAAATATGAGGATTACACTGCATTAGAAAATAAAAAATTTCCACCCTCGGGCAGTGTGTCTCACTACTGCATCAGTGAATAAGTAAAATAGTGGCGCAACAAACGAATTGTAATTAGCAAGTGGGAGCATGCCGCCTGGAGGTAATCTCATTCCTCTGGGTGTCATTGGCTTGCCAAATGAAGATCAAGAAAACATTGATGATAAACAACAAGAATTGTCTTGCCGTCATGTGTATCCAGTGTGGAGTACTGAGGCAACAGCCAGGGTAGAGCCCTCTCGACACTCGATTAACTACTCCCACTCAATCGACTAATATTTACCCTGGAGCGTCGTTGTACAGCGTCAAGAGGCTTCCTCGGATATACCACTCCGTGCCTTCATTATGCAATTCTAGAGAGGCTCCCCTGTCTCACTTCAGTCCCCAACAAGTGTCAGGTGTATATCGACACTCAAGTGTGTCCTTCGTGGTGCAACATTTCAAGCAACACCATCCTCCACGCCCTCTGGAAAAGCCTCTTGAAACACTTATTTATTTTGCCTGCCGAATGGCATCTGTTGCATGAGCCTCCAAAGGGGGCATCCGCACCGAGGGATTTGTTTGAAGGAGAAAAAGCGGGAATAACCGAGAAAAACCGAGAGAAATCTAAGGGGCAAGATACCCTAGAGCTTGTCTCATTCGGTTTGATTCCCATGGATTCTAAAGCAATTACCGAGCGAACCGCCAGCGGCGAGCCGAATCTCATTAGACCCCATCGATTGATTTCCGACTCGACGGATGGAGACGTTGAAGAAGACACCCTGAGATATTCAACGAGTAGAAATAACCAAATGCGTTTCTGTTACTCTTAACTTTACCGCAGTCATCATTAATTAGAGTGGTAATTATGCGTTCTGAAGAATTTATATTTTCTACCGAGTGATCTTGAGTATTCTTGAGCGTATATCGAGTGCTCTCGAGCAGTCGAACAATTCTTATTCCTCGGGACACCGATGAGTTTGAGTTATCGAGCGACTCCTGGGCGACGGTGAATTTTAATCGAACTGACAGCAGAATGCAGAATAGAATAATGGAGGAAAATAAGCGAGGTGGGTTTGACGGTTGAGTGTTATAAAACCACGGAAGGTAGGGAGACTGAGGATTTTGCGGGGGATTGTGGATTTTATACTAATGGAGTAGTTTAATTAGTTTTGTCGTTGGATACCAACGGGTGAGTAAGAGCTCAGGGGTTTGAGAGTACTGGAGAGCCAGAGGAAAAGGAGAATCGAGGATTTATGAGGACGTTCACGCGGATATTCTTCTAATAAAGTCAGTTAATTAGTTTTTGCGCTCATTGAGTTGTCTCGTCGACTCGAAAACTCTCATCCAATTATTCTTTTTACCTTCAACATATCAATGATTGCGAGGAGGAGAACGGGATAAAATTTTCAATTAAAGGCATTTAGAAATTTTTTATTCCAAGGGGTGTGCGAGGGGGACTGATATAACTAGCTATTCGTTATCGTAACCATCATTAATTATACTCATGAATTTTCACTGCGTTTTGACTTGAAAAGCCTTGGGAAACATATGCCCCGTGCCCTGAGGCTCGTATATATTACGAGGGTGGAAGGATACGTAATTTATGGCACACCACCGCCGATTTTGGCACGGCTTCTCCCCATTCCTCGTTTAGTCTTCATTTTTCCCCTCGTTATCCAGTATTTCTCTGGCTATGCTTTATGATATAAGTATGCATTCCTCTCATTTGGACATTTTTTCAACTATTTTTCGGGACTCAATTAAGTCTGAAAGAGTAACTCCAAAGGGACCTGCCTCAATTGGCCTATTACCCTTTCGCTGGGGTCTCTTATTTTTGTTAATGTTCGCCGGTTCTTTGCCTTTTGTTTTGATATTGCGGCCACAGACTCTTTTGAGGCTCAAAGCAAACGCGCCAGTCTGGAAATTAGCCTCGAGTAGGACGCCATTTGGGGGACAGTAGCCCCGGTGGTTTGATTGGGGATAATGCTTCCAGGGGAGGGGTAAGCAGTTTTTAATGCCGCCATTAAGTACATTGTTTTACGCCTCCATTTGGCTGGAAATTGCCAAATTCAACGCTTCGAATCTTTACGAATTTCAGGATAATCAACTGACATGGAATTTAGTAAAGTCGTTAAGTAAAATTGGGTCAATTTAACATTTTTATTAATTAACCATTCATCTCGGAAACAATTGACTTGACGTGGGAATTGATGGGATTTTTACAGCTCATTTTATTTCTCAGAAATTCTTTTGATATTTCATCCTTAAATCATTCGTTATTGGGAGATATTTAACAAAATCTCAACTTAGATTCAATTAAGTATGTAGTTTTTCCTTCTTCATCTCTTTGTATGGGGAATTTCGCAATTTTCAAATAGAAATTGAAAAAAAAATTGAGTTCACTGGATTTTTAACAGTTTTTACTTGAACAGAGTACGTCATGGAGTGGAGTATTTGAAAGAGTTTGGAAAAATATCGAGTGGGGTTGACGAACGTTTTTGATGGACGTTTCTATTTCAGTATAAATCGCTTCATTTGCAGCTTGACAACTCGGCGTTTTACCATCGTTTATATATTGAATTGAATTCCGTTGTATCAATGATTTAAATGAAATATTTTTGGTTGTTTCAGTGCTGTTGGTGGCAGCATGTTGGGCGATGTCAACATCTCAGCGATCCTCGATTCCTTTTCCATTAGTTATGATAAAAGAGTAAGGCCGAACTACGGAGGTGAGTACCCAGTGAAACACGCGTTCGAACCTCTCGTGAACATCATTTTGGTTAAATATTTTTTCAATCAATTGCCTCTTTGGGATTCCCAGACAGAATTCACCGATGGTCCTCCATCGTTGCAATAATACATTATTCGTCCTGAAAATCCCAAAGATGCGTAATTCATCCCATTTTCTGTTGTATCGATAGCCGCATCAACCTCGCATCAAAATCAGTTTCAGAAGCAAAATTTTTGGCAGAAATTTCATCAGGAAAATTAGATAGGTTTCAATACGAACGTGAATAGAAAACAGATAAGATGACGCATTGAACGATTATAATTTGTCGATTAAGAAACCACCGCCGAGACTTTGAAGCACAATATTGACCTTCGACTTGCGGCAAAACTGAATTTTCACCAGATTAATTCAGTAAGGAATTAATTGAGAAGAAAGTGACTAAATGAAATGACGAAATGCTCAGAAAATATTTCCCAATACTTCCCCAAAATTTTCCGTAGCCACTTTTCGCTCCAGAATTACAGAATGGATACGTCATTTTTATCGAATTTATTCGTGCCCATGAAATTGAATCGACTGCAATAAAATCGTGGAATCCATTTCGAGGTGAATCGATCAGTGAATAAAATGTTAAATTCGAAAATACCACTTGAGTGCTGAATTAATAAACTGGTGACTAAGACGATGTGCGTACTGTACGTAAACTTCTCAATAATTCCTTCATGCTTATTTATTGATTTCCATTACCCCGCATACCTCATTCGAACTATCTTTTATTTCCCTCTCGTTTGATGTCGTGAGCTCTCTCGCGGTGGCTCCTAAAACGTTCGGATTCAAGGCAATCTTCTTTAAAATTTTACGAGTCCACGACAGAGAGGACTATAATCCTCCGTGTGACTTGGATGAAATACAGAAGATATGGTTTTTTGGTGAGAAGACAGCAATGACGAGAACACAACGTCAAGTATAAAATGAAAAATCCAGTGGGCACAAAGCGCAGGGGAAAAAAATGATGGAACATGTATCTAGAAGAGAAATATACACAACTGCTAAAAATGCCTGCGGAAGCACTTGACGGACGAATATTCTAGACAATAGAGCACACAAACTGAAAGATCCTCGGGGGAGGGTAGGGCTAGAATAACGCAAAATGAACTGCATCTACTGCATCTTTCACAAATGAGACCCACATACAAATGCATTATAAATCATTCGAAAAGAAGTCCACAATGAGAACGACAACAAAATGAAAATGAAAAAGTGAAGTAGAAACTGATGGAGCATCGCTTAAATCCCACAACAATGTGATCTCGTAATTCATGAGGTATTTGGAGTGACAACTTTTCTCCAGATTCCCCAGGAGTCGTTGGAAAAAAAAAACCTCTACCTGTCCATTTAAATAATTCATTATTAATTTACAATACTCACTCAAGTCTCACTGCTGGGAAAATGAGGAAAAGCCCCTGATGTCTTTTTCACTCCCTTTTTCCATTGTTCTGATGCTGCACAACCGGAAGTAGCGCAGGTGGGATGAGAGTTCGATACTTACAATCGTATCGAAATAAGAGCGGGTGAGGTCGATGGAGACAGAGCAATGGTCCAATCGCGCAGATGATTGTCGAGGACTTTAAAGTGAGAGAGGAAAAACTCGGTGAAATAAAATGAAGAAAAATAAAGTTGATGGGAAAAATAAACTACAGGGGTGTCAGGCAATAACCAACAACGATTGCCAGTGTTCAAAGCCCAACGATTGCTCCGTTTCAACTTTTTTTCCCCTCGGTTTATCCTTTTTACCAATGAAAATTTATATTTTTATGACACTGCAGAGTACATATGTACCTGCACAGACTTATTTTCATTTATTCCGATATTTAATTACACTGTCAACAATTCCTTGAAATTTTTATCCGCGAAGAAAGATTTTTACAAAAAATTTTTTCAACAGTATAAAAATTTATATTTATCTTAACGTATTAAATTCATATATTTTTCATATTTTTAAGAAATTGAAAAAATATACATTCCCAAAGATATTAATCATATTTTTTACCCACTCTCCCATGCACGTATGGAAAATGAATTTTTTCAATGCTAACCGCTCCGATGTTTCCGCAATCCCTGACAACAAATTGCATAATTAAATAAATTTTCTTGCTCAAAGGATATATTCAGGGACTGGAGAATCGAGTTGGAAGACGGAATTATGTGAAAATTGTTGCCGACTTATTTTTGCCCCGGCGAAAATTCCACATCGGTGTCGTAAGGGGAATGCATCAGGCAATGGTCAGCCACGTTGACCAGTTGGATTGGGGCAATTTGAAAGTGAGTGCGGGTTAATGCGCCGCAGAACTCAGTCATCCCTCTCACATCGAGTTCCATTGGTTATCCCCTTGGGTTGGTCTCTTCCACCCCTTATCGAGTCATTGAGCCGCGGGACATTGTGCTGTGGTCGCGAGCGCGGGAGAAGTCAAATTTTCGGGACACCTCGGCAATAGGGCGTGGCTCGACTTGTTCGGTAAAACTCGGATCGATGGTTGGGACGCTCGTTGCCACTGGTTACCGTTAACAGCATCCCCATTTGGTCCTGCCAGGGAGAAGGGGGTCCAAGCACACTCCTGTACAGTATACCACCCCATGTACCGCACTTTGCTGATGGTATAAACGCTACTCCGCTATTCTTTCTCATCCCACTACTCGGCCCATTGTTTTTTTTTATTTCACCCCTGCTTTTTTTCCCCTCTCCTCATCAACGCGTGAAAACAGTGAGTTGTTCAGGTGCAATAACGAGGCAATCGAGTGTGAAGAATCCTCCCCCCGTCGACAAACTGTGAGAGATGATATTGTCGATTTCGTGGAAGGGATGTAAATATGAACTTTATGCAGATTGAAGAATGCAGAGTGTACGTGGATCATTGGCCTCCACTTGCTTATGCAAGACCTCATTTCCTTTTTGTGCTATAAAAAAGAGGTGAAAAGGGAATAACTCGACCCAGATACGTCGCGAATTTGGAAAAATCACGATCCTTGCTACCAACTGGTGGTCCCTCTCTTTCCATTCAGCATCACCTCTCCACCTACGGACAGCTATTCCCGCGGCCTTTTTGGATACGGTCACGAAATTCCCGTTTTCCGGTCACGATTCTGAAAGAGCGATGGCTACGAATAGTCCCTTTCTACATCGTCTCCTTTCACGGACGCACGACTCTACACACTCTTCTCTTTTTTAAACTTACTTTTCTATTTTCAGTTTACTTCCTATCTTCATCCATCCTGGATGCTCCCTACCGGAGCTACTTCCCCTTATTCTTGTCGGTGGTGTACGAGTTACGGGACGTGACTCTCCCTGAACGAATTTTCCCGAGCTAAAGCCAATTCACCTTTCCACGTGGACCGACGGACACTTCTCTTGTTCGTCTTTCAGAGGATTTGATTCAACTGTTGGAGTATCAAGGATCCAATTCCGAACAAATAACCACTTTTAAGAGATGTCCCTTCACACAGTGAATCTCATTCTGCTTATCCTTCGCAGGAGATAAAAACAGCTGATAAGAAAATATCATCGAAAAATTAACATTCCAAATGAATTCGTTACCGATATGTGGAAATGAAAGTTAAGTTTTTAGGGTGAGCATCTTCGACATCTGATAGAATGAAATCTCTTCGTAATATAGAAGTTTCAAGAATGATGATACGATGGCATTCCACCAGGCTCATTCCTCATTCATTTGCGCAGGAAACTGGAGGAAATGAATGGAATGAATGAAATTCACTTTGAAATTTTATTCGAATTTCATGAATCGCACTGATTCGATGCCGCTCACGGTGGAAATGTATATTAGAATGCCCCAAGCCCTCTCATCGTTAATCCAAGAGCATGGAAGGACGCGGTCGAGTGCCAATAGCTACTCTGATTGCCTTCCTTCCCATTTCCTTTCCCCGTCTTTTTACGTATTTTTTTTTTATCTCCCTCTTTTACTATCTGAATAGAGTGCAAAGTGAAAAGCCCTGGCCGGAGGCGTAAGTCTCAGTCAGAGAGCACCAGACGTTGGAGAAAATGTAGTGAGAACTCATTGGTGATACATATATCTCGGTGAAGATGATCCTATAGAGGGAAAAAAGTGAGAGAACGATTTGATAAAGTACCGACATCTACGGGTGCACACGGAGACCCGTATGTGAGACTTCACAGCGGCTTCGAGGACACGTCCAATTTTCAATCTCACACTCAGTGCAAAGGAGGAGAATGTTATTACGATACTCCGGAGAGTAGGACTTCTCAGTTTATTTATCTTTCAACTTTACCGTGGCAAACGGCGAATAATGATAGACTTGAGGTATTGAAGGAGTTCGAACCGATATTTTCATATCTCGAATCCATTTATTGGTGCCAATTCTGTAGAGAGGTGGTGATAGAAATCTCATTTGAGGATGCAGAATGCTAGAATGGTAACGTAAAATCGACTCTGCGGATGTGTTCTCGTTGTGGTGGTAAATTTTATCGGAAAAGATTGAAAAATTAATGAGTTTTGATCTGCGAAAAAATCTCATACAGAAGATAAAGAGAGATTGGGTTCCGGATTGAACGAAAATAGGAGAATGCATAAAACAGAAATCATGCCGATTTTTGAGAAGTGGAGGACCAGGATTCAATTTATGCAACCCTGAAGATAAAATAGTGGAGAATCCATACATGAAGAAAGAAGATATATTCATTATAAATATTAGTTTATTGAAATTTACTCTAAACATTCACGATTTCCTCGGATATTCTACACAAATGTATCTCTATCTATATAAACGATTCATATTTCCCAAATTGAAATTCCCGATATTGTGCCACATAAAGAAATTCAATCCTCCGATCCATTCTCTCTCTCCTCTCCACCGGAAAAATTCCCGTGACAAAAACATGAAGGAATTAAAAGGCTGGCATTGTCAAGGAAAATTAAACCATGTCGTGCCGGGAAGTGTACCGCGAAAATATTATTGATTAAAAATGAAACAACGATGCAAACAGAAACAACAGTTTTTTTCCATCGGGCAAAATGAAGCGAACTAGCCAGACAGAAATTAACAACATGCCGTTACAAATATCAATCAGACTGCAATAACTATCGGGAGGTATTGGGAGAATTGTAGAGGGGTGTAAGAGAGGGTGCGACCCCGTTATAAAGGGGCTGATATGTACATGGGACCTGGGATATGCTCTCTCGCACCGGCAATATCGTGAAATACGAGTCCCTGGTGGGGTGTTCGTCACGTATGGGTTGGAGGCAACGTGGAAAACCAGGTTGAGGAGGGGTTCGAGAGGATGAGGACTAAAACGGAGATGTATCGCATTGTGGAGGGAGTAAGGTGTTAAGGGAAATGTTGTTTATGACACAAACTTTGCACTCGAGAGTATGGGTTGTGGATAAACTAAGTTTATCACGTTTTCGTAATGATGTGTAATGTCAGAGAAGTTGCTGGCAACGGGGATAACTCGACATCTGTCAAGTGGGTTAGTTGGTGGGGTATAAATTCTCCAATGTAATTAACTGTCAATAATTTTCAATGAAATTTTCGGTTAATTTAAATTAATCGGTCGGTGCGGGGAGCCAAAGGGCCGGGAAATTGTGTTCAAAGTCTCGGCTGTGTGTTAGTTATTCAACACAGCTAGCTGTCTAATATTTAACATGACAAAACATCGGACAATCAATACCATTGGGATTAATTAAATTTTCATGAATATATCACTGAGTGGTGCCATTCCAAGTATTTTTATGCCGTGTTTCAAGTGAAAGTAATTAAATTTTTCTTCTCAAAGTATATTCATCTCTAAATCATCATTGATTTTTTTTAAAGATTTTTTCGCGGCGTGATAAAAATCCTCCACAAAAATCAGTGGTCATTTTTTTTTTGTCATTAATGAATATAATTGAAGAATTGTTTATTTCACTTGGAATAAAATTGTATAGATTATTTGTGGAGGATATGGTTTCATGGTGATGCAGATGGCTAGCTGTGTGCAGACATATCCACGACACGTTCAATAACCGAAAGGAGATACAGACCAGGTCTACCTGATTCACGTTAGATTAACATTAGTTGACGAATTCGACGAATTCCAGTGAATATGTGCGACAACACTCAGCGATCCATTCAACGTTTATAACGATATCATTCGCATCTTATGTAATGAAATTATTATCAGAGTACTTTGATAATTGCGGGTATAAATTTTATTGAAAAATGAATAAATTTTTAAACAATTTTATTCGTAGCCCATTCTCTGCTTTGGTCTCTTCGGCCTACTCGGGCCGACTCAGCTATACTAACCTTCATTTCAGGTCCTCCTGTCGAGGTGGGCGTCACCATGTACGTCTTGAGTATCAGCTCGCTATCAGAAGTCAAAATGGTACTAATTTAGGTCTTAACAAGTTTCATTCAAAAAAAAAAGCTGAATCAGTTATTATAATTCTCAATTAATGTCATCCGATTCGTTCAAAGTCACCAGAATAATTTTCCCGCTACATGAATCACCCCAAACCCCCCACACCCCCCTTCTTCGCCCTCAATATATGTTATATATCTTTTAACATCCAAATGATAACACCCAGCTACCCCCCGTTTATTTTTTTTTTCTTCAACGAAATTCATTCTTACATATATCTTTTTCACGTTATGGTAATCCATGCAAATGGCATTCTATATTTTTTACCCTCACGGACACTGCTGTGGCTCTAAATGTCATCAATTCTACCGCTGAAAAAAAAATCTTCCGAATTTTCGTTACCAGTGCAATAAATAAGACAATAATATTTTATTATTCAGTATTTTATGTTCCGTCGGTGGGAGGGAAAAAATGCAGTATAAAAAATCTCGTGATTCACAACTGGTAAAAATAAAAGGACATATCGATAAAAGTGAATAGAAAAATAGTGAGCTGGACGTGGACGTCTATAATTCTGGAAAATATCGAGGCGTGTCGACGATCTATACCCAGAGTCACGGGAGCGATTTAACGGGAGAGGTCGGAGAGTTAATTACACCGGGACGCGGCACGTCGAACGTTCGAAAGGGACACATTCGTCACCGTTGGGACGATTGTAACGCCGGATGTGGGCAGCAACGATAAAGGGGTGGAAGAGATGGAAGAGGTGGAAGAGGCGGAAGAGATGGAAGAGGTAGAAGAGGTGAAAGAGGTGGAAGAGGTGGACGGTTGGTGGTTGAATCGAGTGGAAGGACAAGTGGGTGAAACAGTTTAATCGAGGGGACTCAAAGGTCCAGGTGAAGAGAGACAATTCGCCATGAGACAGAGGTGGAATTCAATGTATACACATGGAATTTCACCCCTTTCTATCGTTCTCTCCGGGTTTAGAGGGTAGAAATCGAGTGTCCGCTGAATTAGTTCCATCGCTCCCGTGATTCCCCCCGACTCGACAAGTCCGTCTATCTTAATTCGATATCCCACCGTGTCTCAACCCCCTTGCACATTCAATCTCACGGTTTTTCTCATGACCTTTAGAGCCCCACTGAGTCTCCGAGGTCATTTTAGTCACCCCTTCAAGTATATATATTTCAACCAATTAATTCAAGGTTAAATCAACTGGCGGTTTTTCTTCCGAACTCCCCTTATTACACATTTTTCTTCTCTTTGACTCTTCTCCCCTGCCACCCCCCCCCCCCTTCTCCCCCGGGATTCAAGACTGTTTAGATGACACACACTGGCACTGAGATGAATTATTATTTACAGTAGATGAATTTTAATTGTATTATTTTGTTTTAAATAAAAGAAACAAGCCCTAAGAATAAATATTCGCACCTCTTTTTACAACGTTAATCACAGGGCGTTGACTTATTGAATATTCTCTATTTACACTTTAAATATAAGTTAATGTGGTGCGTCCCTTAGTACAATTTAGAAAATAACGTGTATGTCGTTTAGACACCGGCATGTATTTTTTTACAATTTCAATATTAATAATTAAAGTTTAAAAATTCTTACAATACTTCATAATTCCACACTAAAGTTAAGAATCTCAGCGAAGTTCGATGTACATACTGTCACCCCAATATCTCGTCTGTCCATGAAAAATCGACGAAAAAATTCAAGAAATGAGCAAACGAGACGACTAGCGTCTCTAGTGATTCCACAATGATGAGATTAATTCCATCTATCTGTGAATACATATATGCTGCGAGCGAAACTTGCACCCTCCGGACGCAACACGTCTTTTATTATCCCTTCAGTATATATATATATTTTTTTTTTTCGCTTCTTTCTGTCTCCTCAGCCTCCATTCTAGCCGACAAAATTGCTCAAACTTCGAGCGAACTTTCGTGATTAGTTTGTGCTCGTAATTTTGCGTGGTCGGTAGTACACACGCCCTCCATCGTTCTCGCTTAATATTTTTTTCTCCTCTCCCCCCATGCCCCTGTGTTTCCACAGCTACAACGTTCCAGTTTTGCTGAAGTCGAGTTACGCTCGCGGCATATGCCCACCCTATAAATATATATATACATATACATATAGGTAACATGCCATCCCATTAGACGCTAGCTACTATGCCGCGGCTGCTGAGATGGGCTGCCCGCTGCCAGCACTGATAATCTTCACTGGGCCCTTCCGGTTAACCCCACCCACCCCCCACACATTATTTTTTTTTTCATACGACCCACGACAGAGACACACACACGCGGATTGTATATAACACGCACTCATGTGAGCAAATGTGAGAGGAGTTTGCGAGAGAAGGGGGGCAACAAGAGATGAGAAAAAAAAAGCCGAGGAAAAAGAAATGAGAGAAGAAGCCTCCGACGTAACTCTAGAGTCAAATGAGATGGAGCGAGTAAAAGAGAGGGTTGATTACTGGAATGATTATTCCCGTGCTTGCGACACTCTTTCGACCCTCAATTTAGAATTGGTTATCACCCCAATCCAGCCTCGTTAAAGCACTCAAAAATGAAGAACCAATGTGGATAACAAGGTGATGAGAGAACTAAACAAGAGTAAATTATAACTCTTTTGGTTTCCTGTTGATTTGATTGTTTCTAGCATGGAATAAGGGCAACGAGTCCCGTTGATTTGGTTCCGTGCAGGGTACGAGTGATTGTTCTTTCAGGGGGCGCATTGATACCTCGAATCCCCAAACTGACCCAACAACAATTAATGGAGAATAAATATTCTAGATAACAACGAGCCACCCAAAGACCTTAGGTCGACAACTGGTAGTTTAGGAATTAGGAATTTAGAGAATAGAGTAAAACCACGTGGACCAGGAAGATCGGGGGAGCGGCTTCGATTACTGTTGATGATGCTAGCCCAATAAAATACTCAAATCATAGAGACACATGCCTAAAACATTTCAAAGTTTCAACCCGAAAAAAAAACAAGCTTGACAAATTTGATGAAGATGAGAACGGCAGCAAGGCGCTTTGGTATTCTTGTTGATTGCAGGTCCACCCGTGGAGGTTGGCGTCACCATGTATGTCCTCAGCATCAGCTCCGTGTCGGAAGTGATGATGGTACAGTTTGTCCTTTCCCGTTAAAAATGTAGAAAACTTGGACTCAATCGCTCGTTCTCACACGACCTTCCCATCCTCAACCATTTGATTCTTTTTTTTTCACTCCAGCCTCACCATGACATCCCCCCGTTTCCAGGTCATTTGCAGGCACTTGAAAACCCCCATCCCCCTCCCCCCCCCCATTCATCCCCAACATCGACAGACGATGGTTTCTCCATCTCCTACGCGCATCCCAATTCTCCTGTCCTCTATCTTTCTTTGACATAAAAAAAATCCTGAGGAAAGGTATGATCATGCCTGACGTTGATGCTCGACTCATATCTCTCAAATACTCTTTATTCCAGAAATAGTAAGGGAAACCTGTTCATGAAAATCCCAGACAGTGGAATAAGGTGAAAAAAAAAAAGTAATGAAATAAAGGCGAAAAAGTCATTTTGAGCTTTAGCTTTCCTGGACTGCATTCTCCAGTTTTCAGTGGGAGACCAGGAGCCAGTGGAATCCCCCGGAATTTATCGCGACCTCTTTCCTCCCGACGGTATGCACCACCATTCACCCTCAATCCTCTTCGTATTTTTCCTCTTCCTTTACTCTCCCCCCCCCCCCCCCCGCGTTTATCTCTCTTCCGTTTGATTCCACCAGAACGTACGATATCAGCTTGAAAACTCACCAGTCCTGTCGATCGACATCATTCGTCAGAAAAAAAGGGTCCCGCGCGCCTCTTTGAAAGCCCACCCTTCACCAGCTCGTAACTACCCCCATTTCGGCGACCACTTTGGTCGATCCTTCATAAACGATACGTTTCTTTCCAGCCAGTAGTCTCAGCGGCACTTGTCGACGCAACTCCCTCTTAAAATCCAATCGATATATCGTGTCAATTTCCAGCCAACTTGATTCACAGTGAAATCTAGCTAGTCCATTCGATCGATTCCTCCCATAAATCATTACTCCCGCATTTTCACGGGGTTTTTGGTCGGGGGGATGCGGGATTTTGGTATCAATCAGCGTCATGATCACACCTCTCTTTCACTCTTGAATACTGTCCAAAGTGATATTCCATCCGTTTGTTCGAGCCCTCACCCCCTCGGCATTTCTGTCCACAACGAGCGACATCTATCCAGCGATAAAGACCTCAATAGATTCAAATCCCTTTCTTTTCCCCGAAATTCCTTTCATCCCCTTCACCATCATCCCTTTGTGTCTCTCTGTATGCGACCAGGTTCTCATTCCCATTTTCACGATGGAAGAAAGAGCTCGGATAAATATCAGCTTGAGATTTTCACCTCATTGAACAAATGGTGGATGAAGTGAGATTCACCAAAAAACTTGCTCGCAGTACATTGAGACAAACAGATATAATCTGTGGTAGCAGACAGACAATTGGAATATTTTTTATATTGATGAATATCTCACTGGCGTATTTTTAACTAACAATTTTTAGCTCGTCACGGCTGTATGGTTGGCTGAACTGTTAAAAAGGGAACCTTGTTACGTTCCGCAGTCTTCGCAATTAATCTGATATTACATTAATATTGTACACTTAATTATGGTTGAATTTTATTGACGATTGCAGTGTGTTACGTTGCATGGCCCAACTCCACGTGCTACTCGAGTCAAGGAGACAGGTTCATTCCAATCCCCGGAGGTTTAATCCAGTATATTGAATTAATTCAAGTTATCCGAATCGAATTCTACTGTACTACCCAACTTTCCTCACTTCTGTTTAGACATTTCATAACTTCAACCGCCGGATTTCCATATTTACTCGCAAAACACTAGTGTGTATTCATACTGGAGAACTTTAGTCGTTCAACGTTGGACAATCGATTGACACTTTCACGAAGCCATTCCGATCTTTCATGAATATATTACATTTTTTGGCAGACTTTCGCT